TACAATGCTATTTCCTAGAGTAAGGTTACACCTTAAGGTCAGAATTCCAGGCTGCCAAATACGGCTGCGTTTTTTGGCACCGACTGAGCACAAAAGAGTCAAGCACAGCCGTTTTCCTAGCAGGTAGTTAGGAGACCCCGCGTATAGATCGTGCATACATCGATCAGAATTAATGGTCTAACCACAAAACTTAACGCCCTAGTATGAAATTTCTAGGGAAGTCCTTCAAGTTGCAGAATATGTGGGGTCCGTTTTTCACCTATTTTTTTAAATTATACTTGCTTGGATGTAGAGATTTGTTTCCTTAATCATGATTGCTTGGGGTTGCTTAAAGGGTTAATACAAAATATTAGGTAACTCACCATAGTCGGGTACCATCATAGCCATAGGTCTAAAAAGAGATTTCAGGTTATCAGGTAACTCCGTACGACCAGCATAGCCAGGATTCATGGTGATAAAGGCTGCACAAGTTTTGACCAGTTTGATTTCTCGTCCTTCAAACATAAATCTGAAACAAGCAAATTATAATATAGCTTTCTAATTATTCATTGAGATGTTGACATCCAAATACTATTGCTTATTTTTACCATTGACTTTATGAGTGCCGGTTATTATTTTTTACTGGTTATTATTTATTAGTGCTATGGTAGATTTACATAAGGTAATATCATAAAACTGTCACCTGTCATGAATATGGTTTCATGTTCACTGATGCTTAGCTTGCTGAAGTAGACCAAATCTTTCTCTCCTATTTTAGGTTAAATATTATCCTGTACACTTTACGCTTACCAGAGGATATTTAGCAGTTAACCAATAAATTGTTATTAGTGTGAAAGTTTTAAGGTTGACAAAATAACAACTTTTTTTCCATCCCAGTTTTAAGAACTTGAATAGGTATCACTAACACTATATTTACAAAACTATTCTTTTTTCATGATGGGTTAGCCTCTGGATCAAGATAATGCAAATATAAAAGGTTTAATTTACCTGTTGCGTTATGAAACAACTACGGCCGTTTCGTGCGAGCACATCCTCAGGCTCGCTTAGCAGCACGAAACGGCCGTAGTTGTTTCATAACTTAAGGATCAATTGACGCAACAGGTAAATTAAACCTTTTATTTAAAACTATTTTCACACGTGGTCACTAGTATCGCGGTCAGGTCAATCGACAACGCGACGACAGACACACAGTAAGATGTCTTTCTTTCTCCGTTTTAGAAGATGTCTTAACAAGATGAGAAGACCCCTGAAGATGCCACCCTAGCTGGCAAAATAAACAGGGCATAAACATCTTACCTGACTCGACAACTCAAGCAACAAAAACAAAGTTAAATTGATAAATTAGTAAGTTAAAACTCACCTGGAAAGTTTTGAAGCCTTTGCATTCCTAATTGTTATCAGCTGTTGAGCTATCACAGATAACACTTCAATATCAATGCGGTTGAACTCGTCAAAACAACACCAAGCACCAGACTGGGCCAATCCGGAGAAAAATCTACCCATCATCTGTAAATCAGGAATTGAATCATTGGCTTGCAGAATAGTACTACAGTAGACTCCCTCTTATCTGGACTCCTCGGGACCGAGGCCAGTCCAGATAACCAAAAACTCGTTAAAACGGACTGTTTACTGTGATATTCGACTTAAATTTAGGAGAGCATTGTATTTAAACACTGGTCTCAAATCTTTCCCACGAGAACAGTTGTTTCAGTACTGCCCACTTCTTGCCGATCTAGTCCGGTTAAATCAATGTGCTGATAAAAATTGTCCGGTTAAAGAGATGTCATTTCCGCCGAGTGTAGTCCGGTTAAAAGGTGTCCGGATAAGAGGGAGTCTACTGTAATTACTTTGTGTTGGGCTATGCTGCTACACAATTTGCTTTGGACGGATTGGAGAAGTTTTGTCCTGCCATTGTCAGAGGGACATAGTTACATGATATACTCTTTATGCAGTTAGTAATGCTGAGTTAGTTAGCATTGTACATTACAGCCCAGAAATAATCTTGGTTTTTTGTGCTGTTGAAGCTTATATCACTCGTCCAGTTAATTAATATATTTTTTAGCATGTTATTTTCTTTAAGTACTACTACTTAAAGAAAAGAAAATAAATGGTTGAGCAGTCAGTTCTCTCTCTATGATCTAAACATTTCTCGATTAAACCAAAGGAAAATTTACAATGATTGATTATATTTAAAACAATCTTCAACCAAGGACCCGAAGAAAACTCCCAACAGCCTGGCTAAAAAGTCCCAGACTCAACTTCTTGTGAAATTAATCACAGAAAATTAATTTTCAATATGTGAAATCAACTTTAAATTATCATTTCTCAATGCATTTTACTTCCTGTGTTCTCATTCAAAATTTTAATCATTGGCATAACGACATCACTGATATTTTGGTACCCAGTTTGGTGAAATTAGATGTTAAACATGATTTAACTGTGAGCTACATGATTACTATTACCAAATAATACAAACCGTTTAAAAAGCGCAATGCCTTTGTAAAGAATTCAGTCTGGAAATATTTGAATTTTCGATAGTCACTGCGGCGGCCACTAGGTGGACTGTTGCAAGCGCACAGCTAAGTCAGCTGCCTGAGTGAGACGGAGCAAGACAAAGAATTGGCGGCTGTGCAAGCGATCGTATTGGCAGCAGCGCAGCAAAGCTCATATTGGCGGCAAAATTCCAGTCTGACTATTCTCCATAAGCATTTCGCTTCTTAAAGAGTTTGTATTCATTGCTATAACTAAGTGCAGAATATACCTTGTAGTCCAGGCCTTCAGAACAGTTGAACACTATACACTGAACTGCTAGAGACTTAGCCAAATCCTTTGTTGACTCTGTTTTCCCAGTGCCAGCAGGGCCGGCAGGCGCACCTCCTGAAATGTAGGTGTTAGACAGTGTAGACAGTCATGATACCCTATTCTATAAATTATTGGAGATAGCACGATTCTTCAATTAAAGCATGGATGTAAGCTAGTTCGAATTTGAGACCAAAACAGTCTCTGAGACCATACAAAATATGGGAATGAATGAGTGAAAACGCATTCAATGTGGATATTTTTTTCATAACAAGGTTCCCTTAACTAACAATAATCACTAAGACATACCCAGGTCAAGTTGTAGAGCGCCCATGAGACACAAGAAGCACTTGTCAGTCAGTGGAGTGATGACCAATCTCTCCGCAGCTCCTAGATACTCATACCCGTACACATAGCTGGCATTGGACATACGAGCTACACAGTTGTCAATCTCCTTCTCCCAGTAGTACCTCAGCTGCTTCAACCACTCAAAACTTGCACTGACAATAGAACAATGATGAGCTAGTTAGGTCCCTCTTAACAGTCACCATGAACATTATTTGATTTTGATAAAAAATTGGATTCATCATGTGAACCTATACATTTATTCTAGCAAGCTGGGAACCAGCATGATTTGTTTATAGGAACAGGGTTTTATGAATTATATATTGGGCTTTCCTGTTTTTGATCCTCTAAACGTCAAATTTCTCAATTTCTTTCCAAGCCATTTTGTAGAGCTTAATTAATCAAATAATATAGTACATTGACGTGTTTTGAATGCTTGATGGTTACGGAGAAAATCTTTTGTAACTAACTGTACATTTAAAAAATGATAATAAATTAACTACTGTAGCTTGTTTATTCATATTTTTTGTTCAAATTTGGCGAGCTTCATTGTAGGTGTTAGCCTCCGGATTGCCAAATAATATTGTAAAAGGTTCAAATACCTGCTATTAAGCAATCCAACATTGTTGTAAACGTAAACACAACTAGTTTCGGTGCCTGTGTGGCACCATCATCAGGCTGTACAAGGACGGTTTTCTTTCTTCATATGAAGAGCGTGATAATGTTAACATGAAACAAAAATAATAAATAAACATTTAAACACGACACAAACACGAATACAAAACATTTATGGTAACTGATCAGTTAAGAAAACAGACGACGCTAGCCCGGCGGAGTTCAAGTCCAGACTGCCACAGCCTGATGTTGTACAGCCTGATGATGGTGCCACACAGGCACCGAAACTAGTTTTGTTTACAACAATGTTGGATTGCTTAATAGCAGGTATTTGAACCTTTTTTGGCGTGCTTATTTGTTTTATACTAAATTACTAAACTATTAACAATTCACTAAAATAAATTTCCTTATCTTTTCTGTAACAGCAAATCTAAGTACTTGTCAAAACTAATGTTACTTAGATAGGGAAGAAGGTAAAAGAAAATATTTAGTAAAAATCCAATCAGGCAAATGGAAATTAGCTTAGTCTGCAGATTTGCTGTGGTGGGGGTATTTTGTTCTCAAACTGGCATGGGATGAAGTAACTTCTTTACAGTAGGTAGGTAGTCTATCTGAAGTCAAAGCTAAGTATAACTATATAACATCAAAATCAAAATAAACAAAGTTACCTGGAAGTGACATTTTTCTCAATGAGTCCTGTTACAATATCTCTAGAATGGACGTCCAGTGTGATGATACTTTTCAACATCAGTCGGGTCAGTTTAGCAAGGTCTCCACGCACCATAACTGCCAGGTCATTCAAGTCCTGCAAAAAAAAAGTTTACATCAATGCAGAACAATCTGCACAATTCTGTTCAAAGCTTTACCCGTGCCTCACAATTTAGCAAAGTATATGCCCTAGCTACTGTAAAAACTTTAAAAGCCTAGAGTGGACCCTTAAGTATAAAATAAAACAGCAAATACGCTTATGATACTCCTCGGTAAAGTAGCTATCTGTCTGCAAAACAGTTTAATTGATCTAGTGCTTTTAGTGGGATGAAACGACATATAATATAACAAACAGTAGGAAAACAAATACTTACAGAGAAGCACTCAACTTCGAGAGATTTCAAATCACCAGGGTGTCTAGATTCTAAAGCCTTGTGCACATTTTTGCACCACATGGTCTGAGCTACAGTACATGTTATCTACAAATGGAAAAACAAAAACAACCAAAATTAGGTAAAAGTAAACACAAATTATCATTGACATTGTTTGAAGACCTCCTTGAAGGCCATGGTTGGCTTGTTTGTTTGTTATACAAATATTGTATGCACACAAAAATTTTATTTTTCTTCACAAGTAGGCCTATTGTTTTCTTAAAAATGTGTTTATGTTTTTACTCAATTTTAAACACTGTTGATCAAATTATTTAATTGCATTTCATTGTTGGACCATGAGTACGGGACCATGATATCCTAACTTTGGCTAGTATTTAATAACTTATCATGGCCTAATATTGGACTAGAACGTCACTTTGTACATTTTGTATATATTTATAAAAGCTCTAACTCAATAAAGCGGTAATAACATAAACAGTAATCAAAATTATATTCAGACTAAAACATAAAACATATTTAACTGTAAGATTAAAAATGTTGCTATACAATATATTATTTACTAAAAAAAACTTCGCTTGGCCCTCACTCACTTGACACGGATGGTACAGAACCCATTCAGTGCGAGGTCGTTTGTTGTAATCTACGAGCGCTTCTCTCATTTCCCTCCGCAAACACAAAAACATCGCCTCCTCCACTTTACCAAGCCAGTCCTCGACATTTCCTCGAGCTCTGAGTCCCTTAAAATAAGGTACAAAAATGAGTAAATAATTCTCATATCCAAACTAAGAATTGAATGTTTAAACAAGTGAGTAATGTTTTAAATAAACATTTTTGAATTTTTAGAGACTATGAAAGTCTTTTTGTGTTGTTGATTCAAGTCAACAACACAAGTCGAGCAAAACTGCTACCAGATCGTATGGGTTTGGACAACTTTTCCTAAGAGTTGTTGACAAAACTGTACTATGCCTCTGGTAAAAAACACCCCTGAGTAAAAAAAACAACAAAAACTAGATTTCACACTCCACTGCCCAGTTATTGGTGTGTTGGTATTATTGTGTTTGTTGCATGTGAATAAACAATCTGCTTCCGTATGGTCTACAGAGCAGGCTACGATCTGGCTACAATCCTAGCGGCATGGAAATGTGGGATGAAAGAGGTAGCTAAAGCATTGTGTGTATGACTTCAGGACCATTTGTCTTGCCAACAACAGTCCTAAAACTTTCTAGAAACACCTGGTGAATTTCAACTCATTTAGATTCTTTACCTTGCCCAAAGAAACAACTTCGTTCTCAGGAGATATCATGGCCACAATATCAGTGGTAAGAACAGTTTCTAGCTCTACATTTTCGTCTCCCTCCACAGCCCCTTCTGGCAGCACCTGCTTCGTACCAAACTGCAGCTTCGAGATAGCATCAAAACACTTACGCAGATGAGGCTGCACTGCATGTGGGTTGCGGGTCTGTAGGAACAGAGGAAAAGTCAATTAGTTTGACTACTACTTTGACTGAAGTGCTTGATATTGTTACACCAAATTCAGGGGAGTATAATTGAATATTGTAATACGACAGTGTGTCTCTCTAACACTGTTTAGATGATGGTTTGGATCAGCTAAGATTAAAAGCTTGGCAGTAGTGAAGTATTGTTGCATGTAATATTAATATACCTGGGGAATCTCGTAAGGTGTCCTTTGTCCAGTATTGACTCCACACAAACTGTTGGTCCTACAATGATGAAGTGAACATTTCCCCACAAAACCAACCCCAATGAATAATGTTAAAACGTGTCAAATGCTTTCTGAATATAGGATGTAACATATCCAGTGGTTCAATAGTTCAAACTTCACTGTTGTCAAATGGAAACATTTGTTATATCATTCATAATTACAAAAGCTCCTTTTAATACATACATGCATACATCAACATTATATCAATTAAATCAATTAATTATTTAAGATGGGGACGCCACTATGTATGTATTTTAACCCAAATATTAGTGTAGGATGAGTGACGCGAAATTAAATCCTACAGCAATCCAGCTCTCGACAAAGCACAAGATTTAGTTTTCACCATAAAACTGTTCTTTTTAGAGATTAGATCATAAAAAAACAATTTTTGGCAGAGAAAAAATATTTGTTGACATGTTTGGCTTACCCTTGTTCAGATTGATTCTGTCAAGTTGTGAAAAACTCAGTATGTGTAAACCTTATTTGTCTATATATCTAGAAGACTCCAGTGAAAACTACAATGATCGTAGGATAAGACTAGAATATATTTTTACCTGAGCCAAAATTTCAAGAAGTTCCTCATTAGACAAGAAATAGAACCTTGGAAAAGCGACTCTCTTGGTTTCCAAATACGCCTCCAAACATTTCAAAATTTGATCCAGCAAATTATTGTTGTTCTGAAATGTTTCTAACAAGCCAGGATGAGTGCAAGCTGATAAAGCAAGTGGATTCTGGAAAATACATTATTTACAATTATGTAATATTTATCAAGTTGAATTACAACGATAATGATTGTACAGAATGAACTATTCAGTTTATCATAAGGGATGGTTGTAAAAATATTTATTCACTTCGTTAATCCAAGTTTGACAGCTCTGGAAAGCTTAAAGTAACATTTTTACTGTTTACATAAGCTTCAGACTATGTATCCCTAAGTATTAAGAAATTGTGAATAACACTGTTCTAATGAACAGACTACACGTTTTCACTGTACCTTGGCTGTACGCCTCATAATCTCCTTCCAAGACTTGTCGACTTGTAAGAACATCTTTGACTCTATTGGTAACTGCCTCTGAATATCAGGTGCTGAGAATATCGATTCCAAGTACAACCAGTTGGTCTGGCATTCTGACCACGCATCCTGAAGCAAAGAATAAGTACAATGTTACTGTAGGAGTTTATCCCTTAACTTGCACATGTCAATAATGTTAGTAGGTAAAATTCGCTAACCTTATGGTTATGCAAATAAAAATACAGTTATGCAGAAATTTTCCTAGAATTTTGAAAACTGATTTACTATTTGAGACAAAAAATTGCGTTTTATTCATTAGTATTATGTGTAATTCTTGCACCTTGTTTTGGATGCTGAAAATCAACATCGGTGCCAGGACCAAAAGTTTTAGGAACCTGCCACCTTAGTCCGAATGAGCAAAGTTCTACTGAAGGTTTCAATCATCAAGAAGTTTTAACAAAATAATATGCCAAGCAAAGTAAAAATTTAAAAAAAGTAAAAAAAATAGGATCAACAAAATAATAGGATGAACAAAATAATAGTGATAACTATGTTACCAAGGTCTTGGCGAACAGGTCAAGCTGCTTGATCCAGTCGTCCACCCTAGGCTTGATGGGGCCCACATGACGAGAGCTGGCAATGGTGTTTATGTTGATGTTACTCTCGTCCAGCGTCGTCTGCACCTCCTCTGTACTGCCCAGGATGTACACGTCCTTGGCCTCCTTGTGAGGCAGCACTACCAACTCCAAGGCTCTCCACGCCTCCTCCACCTGATAACAGACTATAGTTTATCCCTTGAATTAAAAAGTTTTACCCTCACTTCTCAAAATTAAATAAATATTTTTGTCTCTTTACGAAATATTGGAGATCTACCGCCGCTGAGGTGAAATTGTAGGTGTCTCTTGCGATCACGGGGAAATTGTGTACGTCTCCTGCGGTCAAAGTGAAATCGTGTACATGCTCCAAAGTTAAAATGACATCATCACCTACCGCGGTTGCAAAAAATCGTTAACATATTTATATTAATTTTTAAGCCCCTGAGCTGTAGATAATTATTGTAGGAATAAATTACTTAGGTCAATAGCTCAATACTGGATGGTTAATTTCAGGTCTTATAGGTCAAAACATGTTCTGACTGAAATTCACCATCCAGTATATTGAGCTATTGATGTAAGTAATTTTTTCTTACAACCATTAACATAGTCGCAATGACGGTGAAATCGTGAATTTTTCTATCATGCAATCTTCGCAAAAATCATAGTTGTTATGTTTTGTTACAAAAATAATTATTACATTTCTTTAAAATCATATCTTGAAATGTTGGCAAGAACAACTTTAAACAAGATTGTTTAAACCAGTTCTTAAATAGAAAACCCAACAATAACACAATTTTCAATAATATGATCCTCCTAATTTTGCAATTGTTATTTAATTAATTTCCTACATTGTTAAGCCAAATTGTTTGTTGGAATGTGTAAACTTAAACAAATACTAACTTACTTTACTCTATTACTATTTTCAAATGATTAAAGCTATTACACAATTGAAAACAATAATTATTAACCTTGAATAAAAGTGCCTCCAGACTAGCTTCTGAGCTGGCCTGACCGGATATATCTTGCAGCTCATTGGGAACCGCAAACACACCTAGCTTCTCCAGCATCTCCAGAGTTATGGTGACTTCAGGAGAGAACTTTGTATTGAGCACGTGTTCAATCGCCATCCAGTGTCTTGCTTTCAAGCATGGGTTCCTCAATGTAGTGATCACTTGCAGCTGAAATGTTTTGGGAATATATTTACTACTATTTACTTTTAAAACACAAATCACAATACAATACAAAAAATTTCCATTACTTTAGAATTCATTTGTGACACCTCACTTATACCGGTATTCATAGCCCATACACCTTAAGTGTTCAGCTATTTTTTTTATGTTCTCAATAGAATTACCACTTTTTTTAATTAGTTAGAACTGTATACCCTTATTTTTGTGGTTTAACAATGTTGTTAATTAGTTTTGCAAAAGGTTAATCACGATATAAATCAACCAAACCTACTATTTTTCAAAATTAATATCAAACGTTGATTAACTGGTTGGCTGAGTGAATATAGTGCTACGCTTAACCTTAAGGTTGCCAGAACGATCATGAGGAAAGGAAGTTTTTTTATGTTTAACAAGGACCCAGTTGTCCTTGATCATTGGGCAAGATTAATGGTTCTGCTGAATAAGCTGATCTTGGTCAGTAGCAAAGCTGTCATCTCATCCTTCACTTCACTCATCTTCCCCTTAAAATACACACCCTGATGAGATCCAGATCTACAAATTTCATTTTAATCAGACCAAAATTACTCGAGTTATCGTGTTCACAAACAATACATGAAAATTTAAATGAACAGTGTTTCTGGCCTCTGTGAACACCAAAATTAAATCGTAAATTGTCACCGGGTCTTTCCGTGACTACAGTAATAGCTTCTTCCCTATAACCCTATAAGAAAATTAGTTATAATTGAATTTATGACTTTTAATTTCACTAACTGGTAATGCTTAAATAATTCATCTACCATCCCACACCTCTTCAAACAGCTGTTCCTCAAATCAAACCAACCTTGTCTTTCATCCGCTCCACTTTCTCTCTCAGTTTGGGAACGATGAAATTCTCCGGAAGGCCTTTTTCAAACTGCACCACATACTTGATGAATCTCGCCGTCGTCTGGCCCAGGTCCTCGGGAGACAGTGTTGAGAAGTCGTTGTGGAACCAGTCGTCCGAGTATCTCTCCCAAGCCTCTACACTCTCCCACAACAACTGTCGCAACTTGACGTCTGCCACTACCTCGTCTAGGATGTCAAACCTGGTCACCTCCACCTGGTTGCAACATGGTGTGGAAAGGTTTGTATATGCATGTGAATCACGCTCTTGCCACACTAAATCACACAATCCATACCAAGTAGTGTGTTACATGATAGATAAAACATACTCCCTTAGTAGACTTGTCTGCCTTATGGATCAGCTGAAGACATTTTTATTGTTGGTTCTACCTGGTGCCACTAGATCGTGTTTTGTTTAGGCTACAATTTGTTTCTTGTTATTTCAGTTATTTAAAACCTTTTTTAACCAAATAAAACGATCTAGGCCTAATCATAAACATAACTTGTCCCCTAGTTATTTATTATTTATTTATTTATTTATTTTTTATTTATTTACAGAATGTCATTACATCACAAAATGACAGGACATTTGTCAATTACAGTACATTATAATACTTAAAGCTAAATAATAATATTCAATTTAAAACAAAATAGTTTTAATACTTAACATCCTACCAATTTCCACTTAAAAATTCATTTAAAGAATAAAACGTTTTGGTTAGCAACCAGTTTTTACATTCTTTTTTAAATTTATTTGGATTGGTAATGTTTTTTAAATTATCAGGAATTAAGTTGTACAATTTCGGTCCAATATATTGAGGTGATGCTTCAAATAGTGATAATCTATGGCTAGTGGGCTTAATTAGGTTCTTATGTCTAGTGTTATACTTATGGTTTGTGTGACTCTCCCTGAAAATGGACAAATTGTTGAAAACCCAAAATAATGCTTCTAAAATATATAGGTCGTAAAATGTTAAAACCTGAAAAGCCTGAAAGATAGTTTTACATGGACTTCTTCGGGGTACTTTAGCAATAATTCTAAGTGCCTTCTTTTGGAGCCTAAAAATCTTTTTACTATGGCAAGAATTTCCCCACACAAGAATTCCGTATGAGATTAAAGATGAAAAATATGAGTGATAAACTGTTAATTGAGTTTTAGTGTCAGTGACTTGAGAAATTGTTCTGAGAGAAAAAATTGCTGAAGAAAGTTTTTTTTGTAATTTGTTAATGTGAGGAAGCCAGTCAAGATTTTCGTTTATATGAATACCCAAAAAATTGACTGTCTCCTCAGACACTAACTGAGAATTTAGAAAAGTGATTTGTTTTAAACTATTTCTATGATCTGATCGAAAATTAACTACTTGAGTCTTGTCCATGTTCAAGGAGAGCCCATTTACTCTAAACCAGCCACTTAGAGCGGTCAATTCTGTATCTACTGTGTGCTGAAGGGATTCAACATTAGGTCCCTTACATAACATCATTGTGTCATCTGCAAACTGAAAGATATCCATCTTTGACGCATTTGGTAGGTCATTTACATACATTAGAAACATACAGGGGCCCAATATTGATCCCTGAGGCACACCTACTTCAACTTTTTTCCAATTAGAATATACAGTATGTCCATATTTTATAATTTTAGTCCTTTGATATCTATCTCTCAAGTATGAAGAAAACCAATTCTGTTCCTTGTTTTTAATTCCATATTTTTCAAGTTTATCTATCAACAAGCTGTGATGAACACATTCAAACGCTCTGGATAGATCACACAGAATTCCTGTTGTCTTCTGAGAGCCGTCTAAGGAAGTTGCAACACAGTTTACTAATTTGGTAATTGATTGTTGAGCACTTAATCCTTTTCTAAATCCAAATTGGGAATCATTGAAAATATTGTTATCTTCTAAATAAGTTCTTAATTGTAGGTCAACACATTTTTCAAATATTTTAGATATACTTGAGAGCATAGCTACTGGGCGGTAATTTTCTAAAGTGTTTTTATCTTTTTTCTTATGGAGTGGTAAAATTTCTGAGTATTTTAGTTTGTCTGGGAAAATGCCGTGTACTAAGGACTGGTTTATAAGGTTACAGAGAGGAGTTTGTATTACATCTATTACATGAAACAGTGTACTTGTTGTCACTAATGTACTTGTTGTTATATAACTAAACAACAAAGCACAAATCATTAAATTAACCCAAAAATAATAGAAACAATTTTTTTCAACACTAGGACTCAGTTTTACCATTATGAACTAGACACGAAAAATGAGTTTCAAATTTTACTGTTGCTATTATAAATAATAACTAATAACTATACACAGCATAAAAAAGTTATTCTTGAGCCGATTTCGTTCAGTGGGCAGAACATGTTAACGAGTTAAAAACACACAGTATCAATTTATTATACGAGGATTGTGTTCCAACACCAAAACATGTCCTGAATAAACATATTGTTTTAACTATCTGACAGGAATCGTTTTAATAATTTAGTCTTGCATTAATATCAAATGTATAGCCTAGCTAAACTAGGTGGCGTTTGCAGAGGCATCCACAAAATTGAGCGGAGTCATCAAGAGTTTATATTATATTGTTTTGGTCATACTACAGTAATACCAGTTGTTTTTAAAGCATGCGTTGCGGGTCTAAAGTAGCATTTTTACTCTTCAGGAAGTAAAAATAGTTTGTATCCTCTATGGAGTAAAAATCAGCTGTTGTCAACTCAGTTTTAAATTTCTATATTGTAAACGATTGCATGTATCGAAATATGTATCGATTCGTGCTTCGTAGTTATTTTAACCTACAGTCTCAGTCTCTTCCCATAGCCTTTTAGCATTGCAGATACATTAATCCATTCCCACACTCAACACGCTCACCTTTACTACTTCCTTTACTACCCCCAACGTCGTGGACCTGTTTCCCTCTCTTCCCATAGCATTTTAGGATTGCAGATACATTAATGTAATTGCCAAAGATAGTTCCCACACTCTGCACTGCAAGCCTTACTACTTCCTTCACCATTTCCTACGTCAGAGACTTGTTTCCTTACCTTCTCATAGCATTTTTGGATTAAAGATACATCAATCTAACTACCACAGACGGTTTTCAAACTATGCTCATACTTTACTACTTTCTAAGCCATTTCCTACATCGTGGACCTGTTTTCACCACTTTCCATAGCAATTTAGTATTTTAGATACGTTAATCTAATTGCCACAAACATTCCCCACACTCCGCACTGCTAGCCTTTACTACTTCTTTCGCCATTTTCTATGTCGTGGGGATGCTTCCATCCCTTCTCATAGCATTTCAGCATTGCAGATACATTAATCTAACTGCTACAAACGGTTTCTAGTTCCCACACTGCTCACCTTACTACTTCCTTCACCTCTTCTTACGTCGCGGACCTGTTTCCCTCTCTTCCCATAGAATTTTAAGATTGTAGATACCTTAATCTAATCGTCATAAACAGATCCCACACTCCGGACAGCTCACCTTGACGACTGCCTTCACCACTTCATACGTCTCGGACCTTTTCTCTCCCTTCCCATAGCATTTTAGGATTGCAGATCCCTTAATCTAATCGTCATTAACAGTTCCCACACTCCGGACTGCTCGCATTTACTACTTCCTACACCACTTCCTACGTCACGGACCTGTTTACCTCCCTTCCCAGAGCATTTTAGGATTGCAGATACCTTGATCCAATGGTCATAAACAGTTCCCACACTCCGGACAGCTTGCCTTGACTACTTCTTCACCACTTCCTACATCGTGGACCTGTTTCCCTCCCTTCCCATGGCATTTTATGATTGCAGATACCTCAATCTAATCGTCATAACCAGTTCCCACACTCCGGACAGCTCGCCTTGACTACTTCCTTCATCACTTCCTACGTCGCGGACCCGTTTTCCTCCCTTCCAATAGCATTTTATGATTGCAGATACCTTAATCTAATCATCATAACCAGTTCCCACACTCCGGACTGCTCGCCTTTACTACTTCCTTCACCACCTCTGACGTCGCGGACCTGTTTCCCTCCCTACCCATAGCACCATAGGATTGTAAATACCTTAATCTAATGGTCATAAACTTTTCCCACTCTCCAGACTACTCGTATTTACTACTTCCTTCACCACTTCCTACGTCTAGGACCTGTTTACCTTCCTTCCCATAGCATTTTATGATTGCAGATACCTTAACCTAATCGTCATTAACAGTTCCCACACTCCGGACTGCTCGCCTTTACTACTCCCTTCACCACCTCCTACGTAGCAGACCTGTTTCCCTCACTTCCCATAGCATCATAGGATTGCAATGCCTTAATCTAATGGTCATAAACAGTTCCCACACTCCGATCTGCTCGCATTTACTACTTCCTTCACCACTTCCTACGTAGCGGACCTGTTTCCCTCCCTTCCCATAGCATCATAGGATTGCAAATGCCTTAATCTAATGGTCATAAACAGTTCCAACACTCCCTACCGCTCACCTTTACTACTTTCTTCGCCATTTTTAACGCCACGGACCTGTTTCCCTCACTTTCCATAACATTTTATGATTGCAAATGCCTTAATCTAATGGTCATAAACAGATTCCACACTCCAGACTGCTCACCTTTAGTACTTCCTTTAGCACTTCCTACGTCACGGACCTCAAGCTAGTGTCGTCATTTGATTATATTTATGATTCATACCGTTTCTGTTCTAATATCTGTGGAATAATGCTATCAGCTATTTCTTCATCTGCTGCATTCAAAAGTCAACAGCTGATCATATGTCTTTGTTTATGTGTCAAATACTGCTTCCATAAGGATTACATTGAAACTTTGAGACCCAGTGGGGCGGATTCCTGAGAGTTATTTTTAACGCCATATAGATGTTGGCACTCACCGATATGGTATTTATCACCATCCAAAATTTGAAAACGATTGATTCAGCCGTCTAGGAGGAGTTTGCGTATTACGAAATGCATAAAAGTCGACGTATAAGAGCTTCGCTCGCTTCGCTCGCTCCGCTCAATAAAAAAAAAACTAAACTGAAAAATAAAAGTGAATTACTATTTTACTTCATGGAACTGATTTACATAATACATCTAATATATAAAATTCTCGTGTCACAGTGTTTGTCTGCAAACTCCTCCGGAACGACTTCACCGATCGTTATGAAATTTGGTGTGTAAATTCTGTAGGTATGCGAATCGGACGTAAACTATTTCCCGTTTCGAAATTCTTAAAAGGGCTCCGCCCCAGTGGCTCTGGAGTTTCCCATGTTAACCTTATGAGAAATGGAATTAATGAATCTTAACAGCTGTTTCAATTAAACAAGTTGGTTCTTTTCTATGATGTTCAATAGCATTAAAGTTACAAGGATTACCAACAGGGTGCAGCACTATTATTTCTTTTACATTTATGACAACAGCTAATTTGCAACCAAAAGGTGAGTGAGCGTAGCGAACGAACTTCAACCTGGAGGCGAGTTAGCGTAGCGAACGAGCTAACCTGAAGGCAAGTGAGCGCAGCGAACGAGCTCCAACCTAAAGGTGAGTGAGCGTAGCGAACGAGCTCCAACCCAAAGGTGAGTGAGCGTAGCGAACGAACTTCAACCAGGACGTGATTGAGCGATGCGAACGAGATCATCTTGAAAATTAAACGTAACGGTACTTTCTTTCCATCGGTCTGTCTAGGGAAACCTATAACCATTGAACTTAGGCGATACGAAGTTCGCCGGGTCAGCTAGTAATATATAGTATTTACTTGGAGAACAACAGTACCTTGAATTTCTTCTGGTTCTCTTTGAAGTTTGCAGCTTTTTTCAGACACTCTGACAGCTGTTCAAAAAGTTGGCCCAAGGTTGCTTGCGCAAGCTCTGGATTTGTCTCAATGTCTACAAGCCAGCTTTGCTGAAAATTTAATGAAAACTTAAGATAGTTTTTGAGTTGTTGAGGTCAATAATGAATTAATAGGAATCAAGAATTTTATACAGGATTCATCAAATATAAATTGATCCAAAGAAACAGTTTTTGACCTTTGAGGAAATTTACTAAAAATCTAAATTAACTACCAAAATTGAACTAGTCCACAAAGTAGGTTATACTTCTCATCTACGGCTATACAAAATCTTTTACTAATTGACTAGTCTATGGACATTAAGGTTGCCATTCCTAAAAATACTTCTTGGGCGCCTTACACATTAATCCTTCCCCTTCCTGATAACACACTTTATCGTAGGATAATTTTACAACGATACACCATTGTAGAAAGCCATTGAAACGGTGCTGGACTATTCAACCAATCGGTAGAAGGTATTGGGAAGATGAAAGCAGTAACATGTGCAGTTCTAGGTTCTTGGACTTTCGCTAATGTGGCTTCATTATAAAACGAAGGCTTAATCATCCAGAATGAACAGAATGAATAGTATGACATTTTCACACACAATACGCTAGAACAAGCTTCCTAGACTTTTTCCCATACTTAATTTCAGATGTGACAGAATTCTATCAAACACATGTTTCTTTTCATCATCATTAATAGAGCCAAGTTTACAACATGTTTTTTAAGCAAAAGTTAACAACAATCTGAAGAACGCTATGTTTTTCAAAATGTTTTAAAAAATTCTACAGTGTTTACAACAGAAGTTTTGTTCATACACAAAATGTACAAATATTTGTAAAGCACTTTTTTATAGCCACGTTCACAACGGAGTTTGCAACAAAATGTTTTAGGCTTTGGTTGACAACACTGGTTTTTATGATATGTAACGCCGGTGCAACAACAGAAATAAGAGTTGCAAGGTATAAAAAAGGTGTTAATATAAGGTAACAACGACAACAATTATAAATTTAGTTATCATGACAACTATTGTATCCACTCTGATGTAAAAGTAAATTTTTCTGAACCACAAATTTGTATTTTGTCAAAAAAAAATTAACGTTACACATAAAAAAACTATTATAATAACAGAAGACAATCGATAATCACGTGTCACATCATGTCAATGCCAGTTGATGGAAGATGAAACTCGTTGATTTTACCAGGATTTCAAGGTACAGTATTCAATTTAGAGCTCTCAAATTGTCCATAAACTTTACAGTTTAAAACAAATCGAGACTTTGTTTCAATAGGTCAGGGAAAAATTCTATAAACAGTAGAAAAGGAAATGCCAGGAACTGTACAGGATTATTTGAAAGGGGATTAAATTCATGGGAAACTCATAATAACAGTCATTGATAAAGATCTAAGATACCTCAAAATTTAAAATTTCTCCAACTTGCACTTAGTAATGAGGATTAGGTCTCTGCCAGTAACCAAATTTAAATTTATTTTAATCCAAATGAAATGTCTGGGTTAGCGAAGTGGTTATAATGCTCGCCTTCAAATCTGAAGGTCGCTGGTTCGATTCCAAGCGAGATTGTTACCTGGCCCAGATACAACTTTTTGGGCTATCAATTAATGATGCTATATAAGAAAAAGCCAACGTTAAATAGTAAATAACCCCGCCAGAGCAAACCAGCAGTAAAATATTATTAGCCTAGTATAAAATAAATAAATAAATAAGTTTGCTCAAAATATATTCATAAACAAGCAAACTACAACAGTTAACTTACTCTCCATCAGAATAACTTGTGAATTTTACATATTTTTTTTCTCCATAACCATTGGACGTAAAAAACCTTTCAGGATACTAATTTTTATTCTTAGCTATAAAGAATGATTTAGAGAGAATTTGGAAAATTATATTTTATGAGGTTCAAAATAAGAAAAACAAATGTTTACTCTATAATAACCTCGTTCCCTTAGTCCAATCATGCTAGTTTGTGAACTCATTTGAATAAATGTAGGTTTACGTTAAGATTCAACAAATCAAATCAAATCAAAATACTTTTATTCCAAAAACTACAGTACAATAATAGAACAATATATTACATGGAATAGAACAACTAGAGTTATCAAGCTAACAGACAGATATGTTTATAAACTTTACTTTTCACATGGAAAATAAAGTTTATTATATACTCTTTAATAATTACTTATGGCCTATTAAAAGCAAAAACATGTTAGTTGTTTTAATAAAATAACTTCAAAGGTGCTAAATGTTTAGTTATTTTATGATTTATTATGATGTTTTTGGCCTCTAGCGAGATCAATACACATTTAATTGGCCCCAATTCATCTTATGAGCCCAACAGTGGTAATAGCTTACATACACATGTGGGCCCTACACTTGGTCACCAGGCGACATCACCGGTGACCAGACTAGTTGTTGGGCACTGGTTCTTATGGCGCCTATTACACTAGGGTCACCGGTTGCGTCACCAGCCTTTGGTGACTGACCGGTGACTCTGCCCCGTGACCAGACGAGTAACCACTGGTGACCAAGATTTGTCGCTGGGCATTGAATCAAATGGCACATATTACACACAGTCACCGGTGTTGCGTCACCACTGTATATTCGTGTTCTGCAAGTTCAGATTGTTGCCAGTGTAGTAGGTGGACGTACTGATGGAAAAATATGAATAAATGCTAATTCTTGCTCTTTTGTTGAGGAAAAGGAGGAGACGAGCAAGGAAAATGTACGTGCACCCCCAAGGAAAATGTAGAGGTATCTTTATCACCACTACATTTTACACTAGACTGGCTTACTTTTACTGAGTCTTCTTCCCCTGCATCTCTTCCCCATTTATTCCCTAATCATTCACTGGACATTTTTTTAACTGAAGAGGTCAGACGCGGATAACAGAGTACTTTATCCTTCAACGAGGTGACAGCGCAAAATGTATGTAGACACTGGAGTGGAGGAACTTTGGGGGTTGGTCTCACTCCTGGTGACTTCTCTGGTGTTAAGGTTGGCTGCCCGTACAGTAACCGGTGACGTCGCCTTGCACTAATAGGGCCCTAAGACCCCATGGGAAATTTGCTTATAAAAAAGCTTATGACAACAATTAATTTTAAATATAGATTTGTTATCATGGTAACTAGATTTTATCCACTAACTTACAACTAAACTTTTCAGTACTGCAAATTAGTACCTATATTTAATACAAAATGTTTGTCAAATTAAAATTTATGATACAAATAAAAGACAATCTAACTAGAAACTGAAACATGTAGGTTTCGGTGTCATGTGATTGAATTCATTCATCTGGCTGAGATTTAAAGAAGGTCAGTATTCAACTTAGAGATCTTACTTGTCCATAATTTTGCAACACTATAAAAGATGTAATTATAGTTGGGCAGAAATAAAAATTGTATAACTGTTAAAAAAGAATATTAGTATCTATACAGGATTATTTGAGAGGGGATTTAATTGATGGGAAACTCATAATAGCAGTCATTGATTAAGATTTAACAAAATAAAAAGTTGAAATTAGTTTGTCCAACTTGCACTTGGTATGACAACAGAGAAGTAAGGTACGGAGGAAACTTGCTTATGTTGCCTGTGCGCTTTCAGCAAGTATATTGTGCTTGTGCCTGCTCGACATATACTTGTGTCCAGCACGGAAGAGCCCAAGCAGCGAGCACTGTGCATCACAGAGGGCACAGAGTCTTCCAGTTTGCCATAAATTACTGACAAAATTCCAGAAATAAAATTGAACGAAACAATTTTCCAGGATTAAATCCGAAGGTGAAGAGAGTCAGCGTTTTGGGAAACATTACCTGCTGCAAGCCTGAGAATATCTTTTATTTACTGAAGATATAATCAACTTATCTCAGCAACATGCCACAACAGGTTAGTTTTTTTAGTTCAAATTTGATCAAAAATCTAAATATCCCTTAGCTAATGATATCCTTGAGCAATTTTCCATAAAACCTCAATGCCAGTAAAACCCCTTGCCAATAAAACGTAAATATTCACTGGCAAATAATGATTTCCGAGTTCTTTTAATTGGTAAATATAAGAGCAAAGATTCAGTCTTCTTAGTCAAAACCTGACAGGTTGTCTCATATTTGAATTAAGATTTTAGTAAACAAGTTGAAATTACATAAATTTGACCTATTTGACCTATTTTCCTATTGTTTTAAACACTTTCATACATTTTCAAAATTTCAATATGAGGTGTAATCAAACAAAACATAAATATAGAATGTTTTTATGGAAAATCATCACAAATGATACTCTTAAAAAAGATTATTAAAAGTAACAATTTTAAATGATGTACTGGTAAAGTGTAATTTCACATCCTAACCTCCTAGCCTGGAACCGCTTTGCACATTACTTCAGGCTAGACCTAGAGGGTCGCGGCATTGTAACTTAGATAAAATTCATTGGTGATAGGTGGGATTTGAACCCAGGACCTCAGAGACTAAAGGCCCGAGCTCTACCGCTGTACACTACATCAGCTCGCTCCCAGTAAAGATAGGTTAGATTAGGTAATAAACTATTCCCAGAAATACAAGATGCTTAACCGTTTGGTCACACTTAATTTATTAGATAATGCAAGATGAAAAATTTCTGCCATTTTCGTGTTCTCGCCACAAAACCAATCTTGGCCACTGCTGTTTCATCCCCTCCACCCACACACCTAGTATCACTGTTAGCGTCGTTTTGTGCACACATGCCCTGTTTTGCTCCGTTGTATCTGATAGGTACAGTGCGACCAGTCCCGTTTTTCTTTTGTGAAGTGTCTCAAAATAAAAACGGGACCGGTCTCGTTTTTATGTGATGTATCTCTGTTAAATCATACAAAAATTAAGTAATTCCATTACATATAGAAATAAATAAAACCCAGCAAAGAAAACATCAGGTTCAATTTTACATGCAGTGGCACTGGTCGCAATTTAATTTTACACGGGCATGGTATCTAATGGATACAGGAATGTGTTTGGTCTGACAACTTTTTTTTTACTAATTGAGAGATGCTTAGACGATGTGAAATATATATGAAAATCTATAGGTCAAGAGTTGTTGTATAAAGTAAAATAAAATTTAGGGGGGAAATATATGTCTAATGTACTAAAACAAATTTTCAAGGAAAAATGTATCTCAGAGATATAGTGTGACCGGTGACATTAAAAAATTGTTGCGACCGACAGAGGGTTAACAAGTAGGTACATAACCATTTTTTTAACCGATAAAAATCCGGAATGATATAATCAAACCTTGCTAAACCTGGGAGTCAGTATTTTCAACAGTAGATTGTTAGGTCAGATCAATGGGCAAGTGGTCTAAGGCTGTGTTAACGGCCATGATACAACATTGTAGATCAAGGGTTCAAACCTAGTCTTGGTTAGGTCGTTAAAGAACTTGTCTCAAAAGACACTGGCGTTCATTAAATGAGAAAAAAACATCAAATCAGCATAGCTAGTCTTTGAAGACTAGTCTTGGAGACTATAGAACTAAATCATTTGGAGTTCAAAGAACCAAATCTGTCAAATGTGTTGGCAGTGGTGGGAGGCCCAGCTGATAGGATGGGTGGATTCTTGTGAAATGCACCTCAATGCAGGCATTTTTTTACATTTTCTTCTCTTACTGTATGGTAACTTACCTACATCTATCGAAAACTGATTAAAAGGTTTAAAATTGTTGTTTTTAGGATAAAAGATAACATATTATCATATTAATGATAGGCATAGTTAAATAAATTATATTAACCTCTTAGGCTCAATGGATTAAGTAGGTATTCAAAGTCAAATAATCTTTATTCATGAGGCACATGAGGTACATTGATTGAATGATGACAACTCAAAACTAATCTCTAGTAGCTAAAACTAGATTAGTTAGAAAAGCTTACAGTTAGTTGGTACCTAAAACACACATGTTAACATAAATTTGGGGTTTTGATATTAGTATTGTTTCCATGGATTTTTTGAAACATCAAATCTTCAACACACAAAGTAAACTACCCCAGAAAGTATCTCGTATATGAAATAATAATGGTGAGCTGATTTAGAATAATTGTAGGTGAGCAAATATATTTACATTTTTGGACATTTAGAGTCTCGTGTATTTGAGAAGGTAGCGCAGTTTTTAATTTTAGTTTGAGATAGTTGAAAGTTTGAGTTAAAATTTGAAATAACAATCATAATTCAAAAAATATTATTGAAGTTGTAAAATTTAAATATGGAATTCAACCCCTTAACTCACTGTCACTGAGTCACGTGTGTAGCCTGTCACCGAATGTTGTAGCGAGGTACCCATACTGCTACCCCATTGGCCTTTAAGTAATTCATCGAATCTAACCTATGAGCTCGAGTGTTGAATTGTGCTTAAAGTGATACTCATCCTCTTTGGCTGACAGTGGTGTCGCAGTTCATTTGGATAAGGTGTTGACCTGACGAGTGTAGCATTGATGTCTATCTACATGTGTGGGTTCAAATCCCGTACATGTTCTAACTCATTTTACCTAAGCTTACCAAAGTGTAGCTTAGCCGATGGGAGAGACCAACCTTAAATAAACAGGCTTCGGTGGAAGTGTATGGCGTTAGTGGGTTTCTGTTTTGCTTCTTTTAACCCTCCAGTACAGGTGCCGCAGAGTCCGCACATTTGAAAAAGCGCGCCAAAATAAGTGAATCAGCGAGCGAATTACATGACGTGCCATCTACCATCCCCCACTACCTTTCCAAGGACAATAGCGGTGTTTTGACCATCTTAGCCTCATTTGGCCCTGAGCTACAAAGGTGTAAAGTATGGAGTGTTTAAAATTGCCCATGACAGTAGCTCCAGCACCTGGCAACGAAGAAGCACGAGGGCGATGTCACCTCTGTGATCAGGCCCACCCGATTTCAGTGCAGGGGATGTAGGTTATTTGTGTGTCTTCAGCATGTGATTTCATATCTGTGTGCCACATGTGATTTTAAGTTTAAATTCACAAAGAAGTAATATGCCGACTGTTAGTCCACGTGCGTGTACTGGTGTTACTATTAGCCAGGCGTGTAATGGAGGGTTAACATTAGTATAGATGAAGAAGACACACTTAAGTATGGACAGGTTATCTTTAAAATATGATAAAAGACATAAAAGAACATAACGTATAAACATTATTGATAGAGAAATAAAAAATACTCTGGCATCAATGGTTTGAAGTTTGAATCAAAGAATCAAACAAGTCATATTTTTGTACAAGCAGATAATGTTTTGAAACTGTAGCTAAGGTGGGATTTGAAGACTAAAAGAAAAAAATATGTAAGAACTCTCATCTCTGTCAAACCAACAGTTTTTATAAGAATACAATTACAGTAAACCCCCTTTTCTCTGGACTTCTCGAGACTGCGGCCAGTTCGGATAGTAGGTTTTTTGGTTAAACCGACGTCCCCTAAAACTCATTAAATTAGGAACGTCTAATGTATACTATATATACCAATAATGATTATTAAGTAAAACTAGAACACTAAAGACAAAAAAACCATGTCAAGGCGATGTACCCTTTAAATCTTTAACAATGACTGCAATCCTGAGAGATATTATTCATTGCA